GCACCCACCTGCTTCAGATCATATAATTCTCCAGGGTGGCAGCTGGCTTCAGGTGAGGCAGAGGCTGACCACCCTGGGTGGTCTGTCCAGCTGGACACACTGAGAGACGGACATGTGACCCTATCAGTGACCAATGAGTGTGAACCCCGGAATCTGCTGAGATCACTGAGAAAGGTTCTTCCTAGCTGTTTGCTAAACTGGAGAGATGGGTGTGGCGTCACGGTGGCATTTTTTGGCAGCAGTGTGAAGACAGCCTGCCTGGAAGACCAGAGGTGGACGCTCGTTTGAATCGCTGAGACCCTTTTGCTTAAGTCACCTTAAGGACCTCTCTCACCCCCGGCCCCGCTTGGAACCCACAGAACTAAGCTGGGTGAACTTGGTCTGGAAAGAGTCAGGGACAACTTGAAAGGGGCCTTAAGTCAGCTGTCTCAGGGATCTTTCCCCGGCCAGGCCTTTGCTCTCAAGGCTAGCTGCCCACCCGCCCCCAGATGCACCGGGGCACCTGTCTGCCCAGTCGGACAAAGAACAAAACTTCGTTCTGTGTTTTCTACTTTTATTTTCTAGAACAAGACACAGACCTTGTTGCAGGGTCCCCCTTGCTGAGACCCTTCTGCTCCCCATGGCCCACGCCCTCATTGAACCCGTGCGAGAGGCTGGCCACCGGCAGGGTGAATCTGGGGCTCTCCAAGGCCAGCTAAGGCCAGGAAGAGCAGTGAATTCTGGGCTCAGCGCTGGGGGCTGCCCCCTGGGCTGGCCCGGGAGGGTGTTGCCTGCCTGCGGGGAGCGTGTTCCAAGGCGCTCTGGGACGCGGCTGGGGACATCCCAGGCCAGGCTCAGAAACTCTGGGGTGGGGCTGGGGGCCGCAGCTGCACCCGCGTCTGTACCGTGACCCCAGAGCCATGGCTGGGCTGGCCTGGATCTGCAGGTCCCTCGGTGGAGGGACACACAGACCTTGGCCTTGGGCGCGGCCTCCCGGCCCTGGGAGAGGCACCTTAGCGCAGACCCGGGCCTGGGCGGTCTCAGCCTGGAGTCCTCAGGCTGCCGGGCGGGCGGGCGGGTCTAGACGGCATCCCCCTCGCTGTCAGACTCCATGACGTCCAGGGGCTGCAGGCGCAGGGAGTCATAGTTGGGGGGCGGGGTGCCCGGGATGGGCAGGGTCTGCTCCTCGGGGCCGGGGTCGCGGACGGCCGCGTCGGCCTGGAAGCCGAGGTTGGTGTGGGCCTCCACGAGCTGGGCCACGGTGGGCGGCGGGCGGGCATAGCGCGACTGGCTGCCCCTCCGCCGCAGGCCCTTGGCCAGGGCCACCAGCTTGATGACCGTGATCCACATGAAGTCGATGAGGATCTCCCCGAACTCGATGAGGCACAGCACGGAGCCCCCCATCCAGAAGCCGAACTGGCCGCCCAGGTTCGAGAGCAGCCAGACGATCTGTGGGGAGCGGGGGGCTGAGCACCTGGCAGGGCCGGGTGGGGGTGGGGCGCGGGCCCCGATTCCTGCCCAGGCCCCCGGAGTTCCCGGCTTCTATGTGGTGAGTGGTGGCCCGGAGGGGAAAGGCGACCATGCCAGCCCGGGAGAGCGCCTGGGATCTTCTCAATACCCCCGGGCGGTCCCCCCTGGGTAGTCCCCCCTGGGCAGCCCACCCTCGGCAGGGTGGCAGGTGGGGGTGGAGCCCCCAGACTCACGTTGTTGGCTGCTGACTCCTCAATAGTGCGATAGTTGAATTCTTGGAAGTAGATGTTGAGCTTCATGATTCCCTTCCTGCAGACAGAGAGGAAGCAGAGC